TCTCTCTCTCTCTCTCTCTCTCTCTCTCTCTCTCTCACAAATTTATGTTGGAAAACCTTCGGGAGCAGAACAAACGTAAACTTCTCACTCACTGATCGGAATCCGTTGCCGCAGGAGCAACGGAACGCAGCGAGGAGAGATCGTTGTGCTCAACGGAGAGTTGCAATTATCCGCCCCTGTTGCCCTCCTTATCATTTACTCAGTCGCAATTTTCCGCAGGTACACCGTGGCCACGGGATGCTGGTGCAGTAGACTGGGTGGTGGGTCCCAATGAAGGAACGAACAGACCGTATCGAAATGAAGGGAATCGGTCATGCACGCATGAATTTTAATACTTATATCACGAGAATTTCATGTGTTTTTACCCTGTTTATATTTTTCCTCCCCCCACCCGCGCACTCAAATTATCATTCATCACTGGTAGAAAAGGAAACCGGTTGTAATATCCTTAATAATGTCGCAATCAATCGGAATTCTGTGCCACTTATTGTGCGTCATTCACCACCAATTCGCAGTAGAACATGACTCAATTGTGCACCTGAATAACTATTTTACGTGGTTATTCCCCATGACACTAGGTGATAAATCATCAAAATTTTATCGTTGATACGGAATTTATTAGCAAGTGATAACCACGCCATTCGATCGATTTAGCTGGACACACCGTCACACACACACACCCCCGGGGGGGGGGGGAATATACACTTGGTGCCCTTGCGATCAGCAAATGCACTACCACGCTAGGGCACTTATCTCCTTCCACGCGATTCCCCGTGGCGTTTATGATTTACTGCTACTTTTACACTCTACTCCAACGTTGGACCCGTAATTTTTATTCGATTCAGTCGTTTACCACCGCACCTCATTTTTCCGATGAATTATCACTGACGATTTTCCGTTTTTTGATAACTGCATTCTCTGAAAAATAGAAGAAAAATCTTCAGTTATAGCCATGGTCGAGGAAAATTGGTAGCCGAACAGGGAGATGGTTGGACTCTGTTGAATTTGGGGACAATTTTCGAACGATGGTAGGTTATTTACTTGATCAAACCTTTGATGTTTTCAAGGACGCTATATGCTATCTTTCGACTTTTCGGATCTCTATATGAGGAAAATAATTAAATAATTATCAATGCACAAATTAAAAAATTCTAAATGTAATTTTTCTATTAAGACTTTTGAACTTCTCGCTTCAATCAATAATAATGATTACATATGAATCGTGGGTCTTTGGATTAATTCTAGTAATAATATCAATATCAGAATCCACAGTTCCAGATAATTTTAAATTGATGGAATTTCAAAGTGAATGGATAGCATGAAGCTTAACGCATCTCTAGCTCGTAGTGTATATTTATATAAGATATATGTAGAATTCAAATGAATCGATTAAGTAGAATCCTGGGCAAGAATGATCTTCCCTAAAATTTCGATCTTCCGTAGGTTCCGACTTGGAAAACAATGGGGCTACTTTCAGTGGTAATTTGAGTATAAAAGACATTAATATGAAGTATCGCCCGACACGCGATATGACAGATCAATTCAACAACTTGTCATCAACTTAGACTATAACTTGATATACAGATGCCCCGAAAACGCAGTTCGCAAGCTAGTCGTCTCGAACCGTTTTATGCCACCACTTATTATATGAATAGTAACTTCGTAAGGAGATCAGTTTCCCGAAAATATCTCGAAGTCCGAGAAAAATAGCCTGTTTTTTGTACGGACAGTTCTGGTGGAGAAAAATGACATGTCAAAAAAGTCCTCATGAAAACTTCACTATTCCCTTAGAATCAAAGATATTCATCAGAAACTCAAAACGAAATCTACCGCAAGTAAATTTACTCTGATTGAAAAGACGAAAAAAAGTTCTATTGTACTTGTGTGCAATTCAGATCAGAATGTACAAAACAGGCTTTAAATAATTGCGTGGAATCGGGCGAATCCTACTTACATAAATGCAGATGAGTTATGTATTATGTATAATATCCAGTAAATCCCCAGTACGTATTTTTGGGTGTAGAGATCCGATCGGACCGGCGGACGCGAAGTCACTGACGCTTGGCAGCCGGCGAGCAGAGTGTAAGATAGGTACTACCACCATGAAAAAGACGGTGGCGCGCCATCAGCTCGTCCCATCGCTACACAAAACTCACACTATTGAGTCGTGAAACACCTACGTGAACCATACGGAGGGAGTAGAGTAACCCGACAAGACCCAACGACGAATAGAAGTATATCCAGGTTCTGGTTGTTGAGGCACGTCCTCACTTGGGCGTTGATGGTATAGGGTTCGTGGGTCGCACTGGCTTCTTAACAGAACACACGCATTTTATTCTTCGCGTGCCTTTTATTAGCCACAACAGCGTTCAACTTCACAACCATTGTGTTTAAATGGCTGAGAGAGATGGGATGGAGAAAAAAGTAGTGAGTGAGAGAGGGCACAACAGAGAGAATGAGAAAAAAGGGAGAGATGAAAAAACACATGTGTGCTCTTAATAGCTACCGAGAGAGGCATAATCACGCGTGATCATTAATGCCGCTACCAACGCACGCGCGTCGTAACTCGTCGCAGGGAGCCCTAGCCACTATCTAGAGTGTGCGGTATCCTATGGATGGCTGGAGAATTCTTCTAGCCAGACAACGGGAGTGCGTTGAGTATACCTCAGCCTATCCACCGTATGGGTTTCTCGGTGAGAAAATGGAACGACCTTGAGGTTTCGTCCTCGTGCATTGCACATATATGTGCATGAAACATGAAGAGCAGTGCTGCGGGAAAAAGTATCGGGAGGAAAGTCTGTCGACTGGGGAATTGAGAATAAGAAATTGAAAGAGGACGAGATTAAACTGAAGATGTGACTAGACGTTTTTTCACTTTTTCTACATTCTTCGGTTTGTTCTTCTATTTTGAGAATTGGAGTATTGAGAAAGGCTCGATGACCTTGACTTTCTCAGAGTTGACGTTTCTTATTTTAGAGGTGAATATTGTTGGTTATTCCCCTACTCGGGGAGTGGTGTTGCGAATCTATGATTCATCTCCTTCGAAGTTTTCATTTTGTTGTTAAACTGAAGGACGGCTATTAAACAGGTTAAGGACTTAAATGCCCTTGGTGGTTGAAGGGATGCATCGAAAGACTTTTGATACAGGATAGAACATCCAAAAAAGGAGGAAAAGTGTTTAATTCAACCCCTTTCGCCTGGTATTTTGTACTAAAACTTCATTGTTTGAATTATTACTTTAACAATTCACCCAGGACCACAATTTTGATCTAATTGAGACTTATTTTTCTCTATGGAAATGCTCGTTAAAGGCCAGAAGCTGAAATTAGTTATCCGCGCTTTTCAATTAGTGAAAAAAAAAAAATGATTTTTCGCGAATTAGTTTTTTCTCAAGTTTTTCCATGGGCTAATTTATTCTCAAATCAGCTTCGTATTTGTGTATTAGACAACTTTTATGTACCATTACAATCTTTAACTCGTCGGAATAATCGATTTTCAGAAGTTATGAAGAAACTGCCAAAAAGTGTCAATGACACTCAGACAGAATTTTCTTTTTACGGAGTATTTGTTAATTTATTCAATTTTATTTGACAAGAAAATTCTACACCTAGCGTGGCTTGGGTCAGTGGCTGCTAGGGTTCAAGATTTAACAAGAGAGAATGATGTTGGGCGCCAGTTAATTTTTTTTTGTCTCGTATACCCTTTGGGATTTTTACGATATGTTCCCTTCCCACCCCCCAACCCCCTGTATCGCATTCGTCAAAGGACAAGGGAAAACCTCATTTGAGGGAAAAACCTATCCAGGTACAGTCGTCTCTTGCGAGACTCCCGCCCGACAATGAAACCGTGAGATTTAGAGTGTCACAAATTTTGGGCCCCCCAGTCGGGAATCGAACCCGGATCTCCCGCATGCCTGTCTCACAATGTAACCATTAGCCAAAGTTTTACATATTGTTAATAGCATTGTTGTTTTTATAGGCTACGGAAAAAATATGAGAAAACGTAGTTTGAATAATAAACCCGGGTAGAAATCACGCCGCTCGAGCTCGGCTCGGAACCCGTATCCCAGCTAGAAATACGCCACTCCGCCCCAGCTTGGGATAAACTCCACGCGCGTCACATGTACCCGAGGTTGAGCCGCGTCACGCGCTCACAGCCCAGCGTTAGACTATTATGCGAAACGCTTTGCCGGGCTTTAGTTGAATGGCCACTGCTCAACCTCAGGTTCATCTCCAATTACTCAATCCCAGTATACTTAACCTCAATAATGATTTGACAGGTCCGATGGCATCGTGATTTGAGCGAAAAAACAATCGAATAAATGTGAAGATGGCATGCTTTTTCAGATGAACAATCACAAGCTCATCAGAAATAACGTGATATTAACTAATCGAATGGGATTAATCTGAAAATACGAGGTAGAACAATTCACTGAAACGTAGTCAAAACTTTCTTTTTTCTCGCGAATACAACAAACAAAATCAAGAAAAATAATCACTTGAAAAACGTTAACGAACCTTTATTATTAATTATCAATGCTACAGGAGAGGATATTCTTCATTTTTCGATAGGCCTACGAGTTCTAAGAATATTCTACGATTTATTAGGGAAATGTTGAATACAGGTATGCCAAAATAACACGCATGAAAAAATTCAACAGAAAAACCTAGCGCTTTCTATTAAATTTCTATTGGAATTCTATGAGAATTCTCTGGAAGTTCTATTAGAATTCTATTCGTTTCTTGCGCCGATTCTATAGGAGATTATGCAACTTCATAGACTCTTTTTGTTAAGGTAAAATTTGGTGCAAGAAAGTAAATAGGTTTTTATGTTCCTATAGATTTTCTTAGGCGTAAGATTTCTAAGTTTTTTCCGCTCGGTTTTTCTTCTTTTCTTTTAATCAAATGCAGGAACAAAACTTGGAAAATTCATGCCCAATAGTTTCTGTGGAAGAAATCCTAACAGAATAAATTATCTAGAAAAATCAATGGATTTTTTTCTACAAACAAATATCTATTAAAAATGCAGGGGAAAGTTGCATAATTTTCAATGGCATTGACGCAAAAAAAATAGAATTTTTCAATAGAATTGCAATAAAACTTAAATAGAATTCTCATAGAGCTCCAATAGAAATTCAATAGGAATTCTTAGAGAAAGTGCCAGGTTTTATATTCGATGACAGAGGGAAAAATCAGTAAATTTCAAATCTTATAGAAAGTTCAGTGGAATTCCATTTTTTTTTCTAGTAAGAAGACAAGGATTTTCCAAAGTATTCAAATTTTAAATCGATATTCTAAAAATGCATAAATATCATTCTATTCCACCCTCCACTCGAAACGACACGACTCAATCGGAGCTGAGTTCTAAGCGTTGAGCCACAGCTCAAACTCAAGTGCCGGGTTATGCCGTCTGATGAGCGTTCGACTATGAGCCGGTATGGAGCGGCGTGTCGCGGCGTGAACTCGGGTCAAGCGGCAAGCCGGGGCTGAGCTCGCGCTCACCCGAGTTGCGGCTGAATCCCCGGTTGAATTTCTACCCGGGTACTTGGTAAGAAGTACCTCGGTACTTATCACACGCACTTTTGTTACTCTGGACAAGGAAATAGTACTTGTATTGAGTACCTGGCTGATTCTGTTCAAAAGTACCAACAGAACTCAATATAAGTAGCAATATTAGGCGAGGGTAGGACAAAACGGACCCCTAGGGTAAAACGGTCCACTGATAGAAAATTGGTAATTTTTGTTTTGTTCTCGTTCCTTCAAATCAGGAATACTGAATGTGTTGAATTAAAAGTGAATTTCAGGATCATAATTGTCACAGGGGTTTTATAGACAAGAAGTGTCGTTGAACCGCAATTTGATCAGATTTGCTAATCACCTCAAACCATAAATGATTTTGAATTTTTGTCTTTGCTTCCATTCGGAAGCAAAAACTATCAACAAATCCAAAAATTATCCATTTTCTGGCAGTGGTCCGTTTTGGCCTAGGGGTCCGTTTTGCCCTACCCTCCCCTACTCAAATCCAGTACTCATAATTTTTTTTAGGAACTCATTCAAGATTACGAATGAAGATCCAAATGTTGAAGAACAGGCAAACACAGAAAAATTTGAAGATAAAATACGTTTTCGAAATGATAACTCGCTTTTCCAAAAACGTCATTTACGTTTTTATGTCATAGGTGCGCAGAATCACGCGATTCTAACCTCGCTTCGCTCGGTAGAATCGCGGATTCTGGGCCCTATGACATAAAATAGTATACGAAACTCGTGCGTAATATACTATTCTCAAACGGGTAAATTACGCGTTTCAAATCGTAAATTACGGTTAGAATAACGTACTTACAATTCTCTAAATTGGAAAACAATTCGGTTTGGAACATTGCTCCAACGTTGGTAGCCAACATTGTCTCAGCGTTGACAGCCAACAATACCTCAACACTGGCAAGCAACATTGCCCCAACGTTGGTAGCCAATATTGCCCCAACGTTAAAACGGTCGAGCACATACCCACATAGGGAACTACAGATAGGGAAGCTAATGCCTGTACCGCTCAGCGGATAATACCACCCACCCGTATTCTTTATTTATTATGCAAATATTTGATAACAACAAGTAATTTCAACAGCAATTTTCAATTTTCTCCCGTGGAAACTTCGTTTAAAAAAATCCAAATTCTTTCCTACAAAATTCTTAAAATATTTCGACCCCAGAATTTAAGATTTTTCAAATTTTCGGATGGCTCATAATTGAATGGAGTGCGAAATATATATTTGCTATACATTTCCGCATTCATTGCGACCTTTTCGATAGCAGAAAAGTATTTTTATAATTTATTATTGGTTATTTTATCAGCCTCCGCGTTTGTGGATGATTCCGCCCAGAGTTTGCGGGTAATGCCGCCCAGGGTTTCAATAGGGCTGCTGGGCTCTGCAGCTAGAGGGTGGTCAAGTGACAGCTCGATTGTTTGGGGTAGTCGGTGGTCACTGGAACATCCAGTAAATTCAGAATAATTTATTATTATTCGCGTGAAATATTTCTCAAAA